GTTTACGACAACCAAAAGTCTTGAAGTAGAAGTGCTTAGACCAGATTTCAAGAAGACAGTTGGCCCAATAAAGACATCTTCAGGAACCCGGGGTGCCGTAATGAAACGCTTGGCTGTGGCTCCACGAGACAGACCTGGTCTCTGCGCCTGTAAAGATTATGGCCTGGGACATGCTCTGGGGAAGCTCTCTTGTCACATGGGGCTACTGTGAGTTGAAAAATCGACTCAGTAACAACTAAGAAAAAGAACAAGGAGGTGTATCTGAGTGTTTGGTAAAGCATGAACGGTACCAGCTGTATGTTAAGCTGGAATTGCTCTATTGTGGACATTGTTGAGTCAGCTCCTTGTTGTCATGTAAGTGAAGCATTCCTAGACTCCCAGCAGAGGCACCAGCTGCTGCAGCCACAATTCAGAAACAAGCATGGACAAGGCAGCTTATTTTTATACCACCTCCCCCACAGTCCTCTCACATAGTCAGGCAGTCGTGCTCAATCTTGTCATCTCTGAGCACAACAGGCAGCAGAGATACAGCAACGGCGTTTCCTGCACGGCAGCTCTGGATGGGTATGTGGGGTTGGAGACAGCAACTGGGGGGGTCCTTCAGGGAGGCTCTGGGTGGGTACGTGGGGTCAGAGATAACAACTAGATGATTGAGCCAGGGCAGTTCTGGATGGCTGCATGGGGTCGGAGACAGCAACTAGGGGATTCTGCAGGACAGCTCTGGGTGGGAGGGTAGGCTTGAGATTTGGTGGCAGTAGGAATTTGCTACAAGTGAGGCTGTCTTGGCCTTCTGGGGCAGTAGGCCTTCTCTAGAACTGGCATTTCACTTGGAGCATGTGCAGTAAGGAAAGACAGGCCTGGGAGTGTGGCCTCTGCACTTGGGTATCTCTGTCTGAGCTTCCCTGTGACCTTGGAAAATGACTTTCTCACCACACTACTTGACTTTCGTCCTAAAAGAACGTGATGGGTTCTATGAAAAGGTGTTGTCTTGAGTTTATCTGTAGTGTTGTTTTTAAAAATACTTTTGTTGAGAATATATACAGCAAAACTTTTACTAGTTGAAGAAGTTTCTACATGAAAATTCCATGACATTGGTTACATAGTTTAAAGTTTAAAAATTGTCTCCAGTGAAACTTTTAGAACCCAAGCTTCCATACAAACTGAGCATCTATGAGTGTTTTTTGGAGATAAGCCATAACTAATTCTGCCTCTTGATATGGGATCAGAACAGATTCATTGCTGTATGTTTGGTTAATAGAAAAATCATGGTTTGACCAACTGGATCTAATTGTCAAAAACAAATAAATTTTGAACCCTGGAAAGAAGAAACCATTGTATAGCACCCAGGGAAATAACCTTTATAAATTTTCAGATAAAAATATAGTTGCACTTAAAAACCTCTCTGCAGAAACCGTCATGTTTTATATGATACCCATCATATTAGTCTAATTGCTAATTTGAACTTTGCTACAAATTTGACTCTTATACCAGTTGTATTTCATGTGTGGAGAACCATTTTGCTATCATAGGTGTTGAAAGTTAGAGGCTTCCGTTAGGAGAAAAACTTTTATTTGATCCGAGAACACTTCATTCTCTGAGAAAATTCCTATCCCTACTGAGTGTCAGCAATAATAACTTTGCTGACATAAGAGACTTAGAGATGCTGGAGAATCTGAATCAGCTCACAGCAGTTGACAACCAACTTTGACATGTGAAGAATTTGGAGTTTTTACTGAGCAAGTTGATGAAACTGGAAAATGGATCTGACAGAAAATCAGTTTATCTCAAAACAGAATACAGGAACAGTGATTTTTAGTGTCCAAGTCACTGGAATTTCTTGATGGAAAAGAAATGGGGCGGGGGGGGGGGGTTAAGGCAGTTCCTGATGAGTTAGAAACTACCCAGAGACACCAAGAAAATTTTAAAAAAGAACAGTGAGGATACAAGTCCCTTATGTGTAAGAAAGCCCACCTTTTCTACCACGAAGAGGAAACTCCCAGCAACAAAAAAAGTGCCAAGAAATTAGTAGTTTTTCCTTCGTTTTAAAGTTTTTTTATTTTTTACTTATGTATTTAAGCGTATAAAGATAAATATTATCCCTTGGATGTTTTAACTTAAATGATTATTATCAACAAAAGTCTTGTTTCATTCATGTTGGTTATGACTGTCAAAGGTGTGCATTAATAATATTGCATGTACATTAAATATATCTTAAGCATAGAGTCATGAGAATGGGGAGAAAAATGTTTATTTTATATCTGGGAAATGTACAGTGTTAGGAATATAAACTGTTTAAGTCACACATTAGCATTTAGAAACTTCAGAACATCTGGCTTCCATGAGACTTTTTTTTTAATTTGTGTGTGTGTGTGTGTGTGTGTGTGTGTGTGTGTGTGTGTGTGTGTGTACCGTCAAATCAGATCTGACTGGTACAGGAGGAGGTTGTCCCTCCTTCCCCAGCAGAGCATCTGGTGGATTCTAACCGTGCACCTTTGGGATTGCAGTGCAACTTCTTGCCACTAGGCCACCAGAGCTCCCCTTCCATGAGACTTTTAAAAAACTCTCTTCTTCGTTTCTCCCCTTCTGATCAGGGTTCAATAGAATCTTTGATCAAAATCAGAGCAGTAGGAGTTGGTCCAGTCTTGGAAGCATGCATTCCGTCCCATTCCCTCCTCCTATTCCTGACTGTAGTATCTTGCTCCAGGCAAATGGAAACAGATTGTGGTGTCTTCGATATCAGTCTGCACCCAACTCATAAAATCCCAGGTACTATATAGTGACCTAGGACATAGACTAGAAACCCTCGACATTATTCGACCAGTTACCTGGAATATCCTATAAGACCATGGCACTAAGCCTCCAGACCAAGGAACCAAAGTCTGCGAGGTGTTGCTTGTACACGAGCAGCTCTTTTTTTTTCTTCTTTTGATTATCATGCAGCTTTTGCCAGTTCAGCTTTTTTTTTTTTCAGTTCAGCTTTTTACAGGTGTACAAGTTACTGACAGCAGTTACTTGAATCAGCTGTGCAGCCTGTCCTTAATCACATTTTTCCATCATGGAAACCCAAACCTCAGTCCTCTGTGTGGTCACCTCCTTTGTCTACAGGTTTGAATTCTGTGAGGTTTTACTCAGGTGTTTGATTTCCCCAAGTAGAGGTATCACTGTTCCAAGTTGGAGCAGCTTAAAGGAAATAATGGGGTTTTCTTTTTTCCCCAGCTCAATTTCAGTCTTTCTCTCTCTTTTTTTCCTTTTACCTCTTATTCAGGAGCCCTGGTGACATAGCAGTTGAAACTCCTGGCTGCTAACTTGAAGGTCAGCAGTTTGACCCCAGCAGCGACTCCATGGAGGAAGGATGGGGCAGGCAGTCTCCTTATAAAACTCCCGGCCTTGGCAGTCCCATGGGGTGTCATTTCAGTCCTTCAGTGTCACTGTCAGGCATCGAGGTGGAATGGACACGGTGGTGGTGGGATCGGTGCATGGTGACTGGTCTTGAGTTGACTCCAGCTCCTGTGTGAGAAAAAAGCTGTGCTCCGCAGGGCGTTCAGGATTAAGACCTCATCTGTTTATGGCCTAGATCTTTCCTTCCTGCCATCTGGTCTGCTAAGATTCCTCTAGTCATATGAATGGGCAGCCTTTTGGCTGGCAGCTGGTTGCTTTTTATACCACCCAGAAACTCCTTGCTGCCTCCACGAGTCTAAGATGAAGAGTTCTCTCTGGTCTGGCCTGACTTTCCTGACTTTTTCGTGCGCTGTGTTATGTCTCAGATTCTCTGCAGAAAGCTGAGACTGGGTGTCTGGGTTCTCCGTTAATTTTTCTAAGTGCCATTATTTAGCCACAGTGGTGAGGGAGTCTAACCAAGTGTCTTGCTTCAGCAGAGTAATCTTTATGGCCCATGTTAAGTTAGAAGCAGTGCAGTAGAGAATGTTCTAGAATACAGTGATTCTTGACCAGATTGGCACCTCCAGAAATGGATGTTTTTCCTGAGATTTCTTCCAGTGTATGCTCTGAAAAGCAGAGAATACAGAGGGAAGACCTGCAGTGAGGCCCCTGGTAGATGGTAGATATGTTTGTTGTATCTGGTTCACACAGTGTTTATGCTGGTGCCTAAAAAATATGCTCTTCAGTGCCAGTTTTTCCAGGAGCCCACCTGGCCTCTCGGGCAAGGCAGGCTTCAGCACTAACTTCCAGTGATCCCACCACAGCAGAATGAGACTGGCTTCCCTGGGTGGGTTCTACACCATCCATCCCATTGGTTGGACCAGTGGGGACTGTGGGGGTTTTATTGGTTGATTGTCAGAAGCCAGTGGCCAGGCCTTTCTTCTTAGTTTTTCTTGTTCCAGACACACCCTGGGTGCTTCCTAACCATCCTGGGCAATCCTGCTGGTATTTTAGATTCAACAACATTACAATACACAAGCCACCCCAATATGACAGACTGGTAGACACGTCGTCTGAAAACAAAGAACCAATCCATGTGCTGTGGGATCAATCCCAACTCCTACATCAGAGTGGAAATGCCCTGCGAGGCTTCTGAGGATGTGAATCTTTGCAGGACCAGGCTGCCTCCTTTCTCTCTTGCAGAGTGGCTAGTGGACTTGAACCACCAGCCTTTTCTCAGTTTAGTGCGTAAAATACTGTGCCACCCGGGCTTCTAGCTTCCTGTAATCCTTGTCTCCTGTAAACTAGCATTCAGTCTGACTACTTGTTGCACTTATTCCCGAGCTTCTCATTTGCCAGCCCCCGTCACCTGCCTCCATCTCCCCTTTCCTCTGCAGATACACTTGAATGCTGATTTCACTCTGACTCATAGACATTCTGGCCCTACCAGTGACACTGGTCACGTGGAAAGATTTATTTTCCTTGTTTTGCAAAAAAGTTCTTGGTGATGTGGAACAGTCTGTTCTTCCCTGCTCCTCTTCCCATGAGGAATGTTTTGTCTAGTTAGCATGTTGACATGGTTGAAATGGCCTGTTCTTAACGATCAGTGTTTTTCATTTCAGATTACCAAGAAATGTGTCAAAACTTCTTCAGAGAAGGAGCTGATGAGACTGCAAAGGGTAAGACATTGCCTGGGAATAGAAAATAAGCCTGCCAAGCTCTGGGCCCTGAGCCGAGCCCCTGGCCTCCCTCTGCCGCCTGGTGCGCCTGCTCCTGCTTAGTCCCACGTCCTCTTCGCTCTTGCCTCAAGTGGCACAGCTGGGCCTTGAGGCAGGTGGGATGCATTATTGCTGAAGCCTGAGCTTCTGCGTGGAGCCTTTCCTGGCCTCTTAGTGCCCTATACCTTGTAACACCTGTAAGGTTCAGGCTGCCCATGTCACCTTCAGCCTCCTCCTCCCTTGTATCTCACCTGCTGACGGGCTCTGCTCAGCTCACTGCCCAGTGCTGTCACACTTGGACAGTTCCCAGCTCAGTCTCCACTGCAGTTGTTGGAGGTTATGACACCTCTCATACAGCAAAGCAGGGGTTGGGGAGCATCTGGGTTACTGTCACAGAGCAGAAAGTGGAGTGAATTTTTTATTTAATCGTAGTTAGAGTGAAAGTTTATAAAGTTAGTTTTGTGCACATTTTGTTTCGTGACATTGGCTAGGGTCCCTCAGGGTATCAGTACTCTTCCATTCATCTTTTTCTTTCATTCTGAACCTTGGCTTTGGGCACCTGACTGCCTTTTGGCGTGTTCCTCACAGGGGTTGTTACTCATGTTACAGGTCGTCTATTGTCTGGCTGCAAGATGACCCCAGGCCTCAGGGGCTGGTTCAGTTGCAGGAATCCTACTAGTCTGTCCAGCTGGGAAGTTGGGTCTGTACTGGATTTTTGCACATCAAATTCCTAATGTCTTTACTGTTAATCTCATACTTCATTGGAATTTCCACATTGGAAACACAAGGGAAAAAACTTAGATCCTGGTGCAACCACTATGGAAGGCAGGATGGCACTTTCTCAAAAAGTTGGAAATAGAAATACCATTTGACCCAGCAATACCACTACTGGGAATATACCCTAAAGAAACCAAAACTGCCACCCAAGGAGATATATGCACACCCATGTTTATTGCGGCTTTGTTCACAATAGAAAAGAGCTAGAAACAACTTAAGTGCCCATCAACAAACGAATGGATAGAGAAGCTGTGGTATAGTCACACAATGAAATATTCTGCTGCATGGAAAAACAAGGAACTCATGCAATATTATTAAAAATGGGTGACCCTGGAGGACATTATGCTGAGTGAAATATCCAGTCACAAAAGGACAAATACTGCATGGTGCCACTGTGGTAAAACGAGACTGACATCAGGGTTGGGGGGAGGCTGAGAAAGATGGGATAAATTATGTATACTGCATTGAAACAGATGAGGGAGAGAACAGTTTAAAAGGGATATGTGATTAGGTATTTTTGTCATGACAGGAGTCCAGAGCGAAGGCTGCATAGTGGAATGGACCTGGGGGAGGGATTGTAAAACAATGAAAGAATCTTTCTTTTACTTTTCCAAAATAAGAGTGAACTGGGGGGAGGGGTGGACAGGGAGAAAAGACAAAGTCTCTGAAATTTTCGTTAAAATTAATAATAATAAAAATAAAAGACCTAAGATCCTCCTAAGAGACCTGGGCAGCCTGTGGTCTGGAGAGCTGGTTTGTCTTCTTCCCTAGCACTAGGGCAGGACCCGCCCCGCCACAGCCTGCTCACGCTGATGGTCCCGTGCTGTCCGCTTCTCCCAGCTTCCTGTGCACCCGGGGCCACTTGGAGGATGTTTTGAGGGGAGCAGAAAGGCAGACATGTTCACAGCACGTCTCTGCAGTGTTGGTTAAAGTGACCACAGATTGGTCAGGACATTTTAGGTTTTCTCTGGAGGCAAGGGCAAAGTCACTGACCCAGACCTTGGTCAGTCAGGCCCCTGACTGGAGTAGCCCAGCTTAACGGAGGTGGTTATACCTGGTGGTGTGAGGTGACTGGCCCTCTACTACACAGATTGAAGGGCTTGCTTTGTATGACCTGAAGGTTACATGATAACCAGGCACCTAGGCTTCGTACTGCCTTCACAATGAGGAACAAATGTGACAAAATGCAGTCCGCGTCAGAGATGATCAGAGTATCTGGATTTTCCTGACAGTCATGAGATCTCACTGCAGTGACGGGTGAATCTACATTTCTCTGTCCTTGACGACTCATCCAACTAGTTCCCTATCCTTGCCTCACCCCAGTCTTTTACTCTTTTCAGAAGAAATAGGATCTTCAGTTTCAGGGGCGGGGTGTGCTTGGTTTTCATTGTAGAAGAGGCAAAGCCTCTGAGTGTGTTGGGTTTTCTCACCATAACTTGTTTTGCTGCCGTTTCACCACCACCACCACCACCACCACCAAGCTGTAGTAAATACACTGATGACAGCCTTTTGCCAAGTTCACCGTTTTCATTGTAGAAGTCAGTGACATTCAGCATGTGTGCAAACCATCCCCAGTATCCATTCCTAGATGCTCTGGGCCAGCTCAGGCAGTGAGCCCTTTACCCTCCCCCCTCCTTTGATCTCTGTACATTTGCCTGTTTCTCTCTTTTTTTTAAATATATATAATTTTTTTATTGTGATTTTAATTAAAGTTTACAGAAAACTTGGATTTCCATTCATTTTTTGCAGTTTCTGCCCTTCCTCTACCCCAAGTTTACTTTGCTCTGCATTTCTTATTCTGAACTGTTGTCATGTAAATAATACCTAATCAGATACTCCTTTTAAACAATTCTTTCCCTCATCTGTACCAATGCAGTGTTCATTATTTACCCCCCTTGTATCTCACCAACCCCAATGTTAGTTCTGTTTTGTAACAGTGGAATTATGCAGTATTTGTCTTTTTTTGTGACTGAGATATTTCACTCAGCATAATATCCTCCAGGGTCACCCATTTTGTATATTTTATGAGTTTCTTGTTGTTCGGTGCTACATAGTATTCCATTGTGTGAATATACCACAGCTTCTCTAACCATTCATTTGTTGATGGGCACTTGAGTTGCTTCCATCTCTTTGCTGTTGTGAACACCGCAGCAATAGACATGGGTGTGCATATATCTCCTTGAGTGGCAGTTCTGATTTCTTTAGGGTATATTCCCAGTAGTGGAATTGCTGGGTCAAATGGTATTTCTATTTCCAACTTTTTGAAAAAGCACCATACCACCTTCCACAGTGGTTACACCATTTTACACCCCCACCAACAATGCAATTTCTCCACAACCTTGCCAGCATTTGTTGTTTGCTGCTCTGTTGAACTTTGCTATTGTTACTGGGGTGAGATGATATCTCATAGTTGTTTTGATTTGCATCTGTCTTAGAGCTAGGGATTTTGAACATTTCTTCATGTGTTTTTTCGCCATCTGAATGTTATCTTTGGTGAAGTGTCTGTTCACATCCTGTGCCCATTTTGCAGTCGGGTCATTTACCTTTGTCTTGATGAGGTGTGCCTGTTTCTCTTGTGACTGATAAAACTCCACATGTGTTCTGAATTTGTTCGTGTGATGGCATCAAGCTGGGCTTCATGATAACTCTTGATAACTGAGCACTAATTCTGACCATGGCTTCTTTATTAAACAAACACAGTTCACACCAAATAGAGAAGCTGGCATAGCCTGCAGATAGAGAACTGCCTCCTCATCTTCCCCCACTCCCTTACCACTTATTTAGTTAAAGAGAAAAGAAATTTACCTCAGGCACAAAGTAGATAGGTGGTTTTTAATCAATCTGATTTTTAATTGCCTACAGCCCCTATGACAGATGGGTCATTTTCACATCTGTCTCATAATAGGAGGGTCTTGCAGTGCATTGGAAGCACTTGGTGTCAGCATAGTTGACACTTCTCTCACTGGATCTTTGCTTCCTTTACTCCTTCTCCTCCTCCCTCCTCTTTCCCCCTCCCCATCTCCCCACCACCTCCTCCCTCTCCCCCTCCCTCCTTCCTGTCCCCTCCTCTTCCTCCCTTCCTCCTTTTCCTCCCCTTCTCTCCTTCCCTTCCCCTCCTCCCCACTCTTTCTCCTCCCCCTTTCCCCTGTCCCCCTACTCCTCCTCTACATGCACAGCCTTCGTCTCCCTGGTAGGGCTGCAGTGACACAATGTCTACAGCAGTGGACTTTGATGGCGAGGATGACTGACGCAGGACAGGGCACGGTTCTGATCCATTGCTCGTAGGGTTACTCTGAGCTGCAGTCATAGCAGCTAGTTCTGCTGACTTCCCTGGGCTAACTGCTGGGGATGCAGCGTTGACTTCTCTTCTGGCCGTAGGACAAAGAGCGCTTGGGCAAGCAACTGAGGTTACAGGCAGAAAAGGAGGAGAAGGAGAAATTGAAAGAGGAGGCCAAGCGGGCCAAGGAAGAAGCCAGAAAAAAGAAAGAGGAGGAGAAGGAGCTCAAGGAGAAGGAGCGGCGGGAGAAGAGGGAGAAAGACGAGAAGGAGAAGGCCGAGAAGCAGCGACTCAAGGAGGAGAAGCGCAAGGAGAGGCAGGAGGCGCTCGAGTGAGTGTGTGCTGCCTCAGCTCAGCCAGCCGGGGGGGGGGGGACCAGTCAGCCCTCCACTCCCTCATGGCCACACACTGAGGCACTGGTATCAGGTGAAAGGGCCTCGCTGCGCCTTCCTCTCCTCCGCCCGGCCCCTGTGTCTGTCTCCTCAGGAGTCTCCTCCAGCCTCCTCTCCTGGTGGGGAGCATGGCCACTCAGGAGGGCCCTTTTCTCCCCAAAGAGTAGGTACTGATTTGTTGTTAGAGGCATCGACTTGAACCTGGCTCACCGTGACCCCATGAAGTACAGTAGAACCACCCTGGAGGGGTTTCTTAGCTGGGATCTTGACAGGAACATGTGACCAGGTTTTCCTCCTTTGAGGTGCTAGGTGGATTTGAACTGCCAATCTTTTGGTTACTGGCTGATTTTATATCACAGCCACACCAGTGAGGCTTCTTAGGTACTGGTTAGCTGATGTGGAATTCTGTATCTCACAGGGCTAAACTTGAAGAAAAAAGGAAAAAAGAGGAGGAGAAACGGTTAAAGGAAGAAGAAAAGGTAATGTCTTCCTGGGAACTCCTGCGTCTTGGCTGGCTGTCTGGGCACACCTCCTAGATTTGGTCCAGACACCCGTGATAGGGGCGCACAAATGTTTTGGTTTTGTAGTGCATCTCAGTATCATGTTTTATACTCTTCTGTGGTCTGTTTTGACGCAGTAGTTCTGTGGAAAGCGTGAAATAATTTTAACCTTTCCCGAGATGTGACACAGACAAAGTGAACGTGCTGTTGCCCCTCGATCTGCTGGACGTGCGGTGCCACAGCCATTTAGCTTGGGCAGAAAGTCTCCCGACACCTGCAAAGCGTCATCAGCTGGCATGTGTCTGTAGCTGGCCTGAGTGGGAACGGGGTCCTCCGCAGGGCTTTGTATAGCAGGCCTGTCCCATCCCCAAGGGCACAGCAGCTGGGGTCGCGTGTGAGAAGCACACCTCTGACCGTGAGACCTGCTGATCCTCAGCGGCCACCTGACTGGTCTGGAGCGAAGTCAGAATAGTATCTGTGACTTACAAATTTGAGCGGTCACTTCAGGGGCTTGTCTTGTGTTGCGACATAGGCCACGCTCTCTCTTCCCTTCTTGCTCACGGTCTTGTGGTAAATTGCAGCGCATCAAGGCAGAGAAAGCAGAGATCACCAGGTTCTTCCAGAAGCCAAAGATCCCACAGGCCCCCAAGGTGAGAGACCACTTGTCTTTTCCATGTACTTGACGTCACTTCTTGGAAACGAGGGGCCTCTGACCAGCTGCTCCCCCTCCGTCAGCAGGCTCCGGGGGGCCTTGGGGCACAGGGACGCCGACTGGCAAGGGGTGGATTTCCAGAGACTGGCGTTGTGCCACGTTCAGGAGAGGCAGATGCTGGTTCGTTGTAGTCAGACTGCCCAGTGTGGCATTCATTACGGAGCAACAACTTTTTCCCTCAAAACAAAAGGATAGTTTATGAAGTATTGAGGAGCTCTGCTGTTTTCTCTTCTTGGGATTTTAAACACATTCTAGAGCAGATCCTCCTTAATCTGTCTTTTGTGGGGATCTCCACAACGCTTTCCCAGACTTGAGTTTTGGAAGCAGATGGCTGCGCTTTTCCTCTGAGATCCTTCTGGGTAGAGTACTTCAGGGTTAGCTGCTGAGTGTGCTGTCCTCCGGGGCCCACGTCTAGTCCTGCTGTAAAGGCCTTCTCTGTGTCAGTGACATCCCTCAGCTTGTGTGCTCAGTGTCCCCGGGGAGGGAAGGAGCATCCTGCAGTACTCCTTCTGAGTGGTCCCATCGCATCTCTCAATCGCAGACTCTGGCCGGCTCCTGTGGCAAGTTTGCCCCGTTTGAGATCAAAGAGCACATGGTCCTTGCGCCACTGTGCCGGACAGTCTTCGACCAGGACCTCTGTGAGCAGTTAGACCAGCTCCTCCAGCAGCAGAGTGGCAGCGGCTCCTTCCTGCAGGACCTGAGAGGCCGGCAGCCCCTCACGTCCGGACCCACCATCGTCTGTAACAGGAACTCTGATGCCTTCAACAGGCGAGTGCCCAGGAGGCTCCCCCATTGCCCTAGCTGGGACCAGAGGCCACTGTCCAACTTCAGGGATCACTGCCTCCCTGGGCTGAGCTGGGCTTGGTGCTGCTTAAGCCTCTGCACTCTGACGTGGCTTGAACCTCTGAAACCCCTTACGTACGTCCATGGTAACCGCTTTGTCTCCTCCGGAGGAGCCACCTCCAAGCACTGCCCTCCACAGATGGTGTTCCTGCTCTTAGTCTTCACGTTCTGTGTGGGAAAAATAGCCGGTTACCATTGAGTCTTTGTTCCTGGCAACCCCAGGTGTGCAGACCAGCTTCCCACGGTTTCTAAGGCTCTGCCCTTTCAGAAAGGGGCCTTGATGGCATAGCACATGACACAGCAGGGTGCTATAGTGGAACCCACCGGGCACTCACAGCAGAGAACGGGCAGGCTCTCCCTGCGAGGTTTCCAGGCCTGGAGACCTATGCAGGCTGGTTGTGGTAACACAAGCAGCATGGGTCGTAACCTTTGTGTGAGGCCTCTCGGTGGGTTTGGGTCCCCACACTTTGAGTTTAACTGTATGTGCGTCCTGGGCCACCACTGTACACACGCCCGCTGGTGCAGTGATCTCGGGCAATCCCATAGCAGACTCTTCCTATCCTCGCCTTGCACTTTGTGAAGTGCCCCTCAGCTTTCCGGGGACAGAGGGGGACTGGCCGGGAGCTCTGGCGTCCTGCTCCGGAGGCAGGTCCAGGGGCCCGTAGACGGTGTGCACCCTGGTTGCTGATGGCAGCATCTTGTCTCAGTGACGTGGTCATTGTGGAGAGCGGCAAGGCGGACGGTGTTCCCGAAAGGCGGAAGTTCGGCAGGATGAAGCTCCTGCAGTTCTCGGAGAACCACCGGCCAGCGTACTGGGGCACGTGGAATAGGAAGACAGCTACCATCCGCGCGCGGAACCCCTGGGCTCAGGACAGGGTACGTGTTTGCCTGAGCCGCCCCTGGATACCTGCTGCTCGCGTTTGCCTATTTCTCACTGATACTTGGAGTCTTGTCAGCCTTACTACTCCTCTGGTCAGAGAACAGTCCTGAGATCCCACATGCTTCCCCTTGTAGAAGCTGTTCGACTATGAGGTGGACAGTGATGAGGAGTGGGAAGAGGAGGAGCCGGGAGAGTCGCTGTCCCACAGTGAAGGGGTGAGCACGGGCCGGGGCTGGGTGGCCCTCCCTGGTAACCCCCCACATGCTCTGTCTGACCTCAGCTGGAGCTGAACACCTGCGTCCCCAGCTTCTCCAACCATCTTAGCCGTCTGAGCGGGCTGACTTTGCCCTCCGGTCCCCTGGTGGCCCAGGCCCTCCGTTTTGCTGTACACCTGCCTGACCCCCAGTCCCACTGTAATGAGAGAAGCAACCTGCAGGGTGATGGCTATGAGGTGGACATATTCACTGTGACAGTCGTTAGGTCACATGTAAGTCTTCTTTGCTCTCTGCTTGGACTTAACTGTTTTTTTTTTCTCCAGGACGATGATGATGAGGTGGGCGAGGATGAAGACGAGGACGATGGCTTTTTTGTGCCCCACGGGTACCTCTCAGAGGATGAAGGTGTGACCGAGGTGAGGGGAGTGAGAGTGGATGGCCAGCTCGGAGGAGCTGCTGTGGGGCCCGAGCCAGGGGACTGTCCCAGTGCCCAAGGCAGCTGTGGAAGGTTGACCTGGACTGGCTCTGCTGAGGGGAGGGTGCGAGCAGAAGCTGTAGTCAGAGCGGGTCTTTGGTCACTGTGGCTGTGAAGACATGAAGGACCTAGAGGGCCACCAGACTCGGCCGAGTTTCAGAGGAGGCCTAATTACCGTACAGTAAGGAGCACCTCCCAGCCCAGGGGACTGATGTCTTTCCTCTCTCTGGCCAGGTCCCGGTGCCCTGTGCTCCCACTTTCACTTCCATTGACACTCCTGATCAAGCTGCTTCTGAAGCCTGTTAGTTTTGGTTGGATTTTGAGTCTTGAGGCCATAGGGAGGGACAGGCTGGGACTGAGACCTGGTTCGTATTTCACAGTCGGACCTCAAGGATCTAAGTCATGAGGCATTTTTAACCAGCTGGAGTCTCACTGGGGTCTTGTGTTTGCCTCAGTAGCTCTGGGTTCCACATGTCTTTCACCGTGTGTGCCGCAGAGTCCTGGCTTAGTGTCACTGGGGTGAGAGTGTGACCTGGGACTGCTGATCTGAGGGCTCTGTGGCCACTGTGTTAACCACAGTGTCGGGCTGCTGTGAAAAAGCTGCAAGTCTACCAGGGAGGGTGTGATCACTGGAAAGAAGGGTGAGAGTCCAAGAGCGCTGTGTGGAAGGGGGACGCTGGCTGCAGTCGGGGAGCTTGGCAAGGTGGCACTGTCTGCTTGGTCCCCAAGTCTGACCCACCTGCAGCTGAGGAGTCGGTAGCTCTGGGCCCGCCATGGATGGAGTGGACGTCACAGGTAAGCTCCGCTTTTGACTTGCAGGAGTGTGCAGACCCCGAGAACCACAAGGTCCGCCAGAAGCTAAAGGCCAAGGAATGGGACGAGTTTCTGGCCAAAGGAAAGCGGTTCCGTGTCCTCCAGCCTGTGAAGATCGGTTGCGTCTGGGCAGCTGAGAAGAACGGCTGTGCCAGTTCCGACCTCAAGGTGCTGCAGCAGTTTGCCGCCTGCCTCCTGGACACGGTACCCCCCGAGGAGGAGCAGACGCCCAAGACCTCCAAAAAGGAGAAAAGGGACCACCAGAGTGAGTGTGTGCAGAGGCACGAGTGAAGGCCTCCGGAGAGCGCTGTCAGGGCGGGCGGTCGTTGGGTGATGGGGCGGAGGCTCTCAGAGCGGAGTGATGTAGAGAGAGGCGGCAAGGTCAGCATCGCCATCACATCCCTCCCCACGTACCACTCCTTGCTGGGCCAGGTGAGAGGGGCCTGGCACCAAGCTGAGATTGCCTGGAATGCTGCCATGCCGAGGGTATGAGCAGGGTGTACTGATAGGTCACCAGCAGCCAGAATGGTACTCACCTCGTCTGAGAAACCAGGCTGACGCAGCTGTCCAGCATGTGTTTCTTGTGGTCAAAGGGACAGGCAACAGCTATGCTGGACAGCCCCTTTAGAAACCCTGCCTGTGCTTAGCCCAGCCATCCACGGCAGAGGCACATCACCCTGTCAGCAATGGTGGGGCTGGACCCCCCCAGGACAAAGCAGCACACGGGGCTGGTTCAGCACCTGTGTCCAGCTATCTGGAGAGGAGTATACACAGTTGGACCGGACTGACTCACGTGGCCGTGGGACTGGCCAGTCTGCCAAGAGTGCCTAGAGGGGCGGGGAGATGGAGCTCTGCCGTGAGCTGATGGGTGGCATTGTGGAACAGAAAGTGCTGGAGTGTCAGCCAGTCATGTGGACACATGACACTAAGCAAGTGTGAAAACTACCCAGCTGAGGGGCCTCTGGGCAGCCTGACTGGCCAGCCCACGTCCCTGCCGTGCCTGGCATGTACATACCTACGACTTCATTCCCCAAATTAACACTGTTGCCCTGGCCTGCACACAGTCCAAAGACGCAGCTCTGCTCACTTCTGGTTTTGGTGGAAATCCACAACCTGCTCCCATTTCAGTTTCTGGGTGTCCTGTCCAGTGGGGTTGCATTCCACGTTCCCCTTGCTACTGTTGTTTCCCCTTCTGGTCAGCTGGTCATTTGATTTCGTAGTGGTGGTTTTTTAGGGGAGCTCTGTACACAAGGGCGACTGTACTGTTTGAGCTGACTCTTGATGTCAAGGGGACATCAGTTGAAGGCTTGTGAGTCGCTGGGACTCTGGTATCTGCTCTGACCCCGCACCCCTTCATCTCCCTCCAGTCCTGGCTCAGCTCCTCCCTCTGCTTCACGGCAACGTGAACGGGAGCAAGGTGATCATCCGGGAGTTCCAGGAGTGCTGCCGCCAGGGCCTGCTCGCGAGGGACACCGGTAGCCCCGAGCGCAGCTCTGCCAGCCCCCCGAGCCCCAGCTCCTCCCGGCCACAGACCCCCACTGCTGGCGAGGACACTGCTGTGCCCTCCAAGGCCAGGCTCAAGCGGATCATTTCTGAGAACTCAGTGTATGAGAAGCGACCCGACTTCCGGATGTGCTGGTACGTCCACCCGCAGGTGCTCAAGACCTTCGACCAGGAACATCTACCTGTGCCCTGCCAGTGGAGCTATGTCACCACAGTGCCCTCGGCCACGCGAGAGGACAGCGGAGGGCCCCCGGCTGGGGGGCCCGGCCTGACCACACCCCTCCCGCTGAAGAGGAAGTCGGCAGGCAGCATGTGCATCACGCAGTTCATGAAGAAGCGCCGGCACGATGGGCAGGTGAGTGCAGGCACCCTGCGTGCTGGGCCGACCAGCACCTGCTGGGGCCACGCGGAGAGGACCCTCTTGTTCTGGGCTTTTTGCATTCTCCTCACCCAGTCTTTGAGCAGACACATCAGTAGGCCATGGACAAGTGACCTAATGGCACCCCACAGCAGGTCTGGCGTGAGCTCTGAAGTCGACGTTTTTATAGACCTTTCCGGGGTTTTGACGACGGGTCTAAGCCCTGCGCTCTGCAGGCACCATGCTGAGCCTGGAGAAGAGGGGCCAGTGTGGGTGTGTTGTGGGAGGAACACGCTGAGCAGCGGCTCTTCAGTGGAGCTCTTCAAGGGCGGTCGCCTTTGCCTTTGCTGTTCCCCTCTTAGTGAATCCAGTGGGACTGAGAACTGCAGGTAACGGAACCTTAGCATGGGGCTCTGTCACGTCAGGGTTCCCGTCCAGCAGCAGGAGTCGGGGATTGGTGTGACACCATGGGACTGCTGCTAGGCGATGACTGCATCGCCAGGCCTCAGGACAGGACCATAGGTGCCCCGGTGGTTTTCTGTCTCTCGAAGTTGAAGCATGGAGTCCTCTGTTTTACTGGCCAGGGGCTGTGGCTCGGCTCCTGGCTACAAGAGAGTCAGGAACTGATCTAAAGTTGAAAATCGCAGGGTGGGGTTGGAGAATGGTGTCTGTGTCTCCACTGAATAGGCCCACCTGTACCACACCTTTACCCAGTTGAGGGACCCTCCAAGCTCATCCAGTCAGAACCACCTGGACATTTCAGACAGCTAGCGGTGCAACTCCACGAGTTCCTGGTCAAACTATAAACCATCGTCATTTTTAATTTTCCCAAGTTGTGTGTGAGGGGCGTTAACTGTCTCAAGCCAATCAGGGAGGGGCAGGGTCAGCCACTGCCACAGACAGGGTTCCGGGGCACAGGGTGTCTCTGCTCTTCCAGGCCTGGCGGGTGACGTTCTAACCGGGGCTGGCAGCCTGCACCCTCTGCAGCGTGCTTTGTAAAGCCCCGATTGGGCCTGGACAGTTGTGGACGGCAGCTCCTGGGAAGCTTTCGATGAGAAGGAATCCAGGTCATCTGCAGGCCCGCGAGGTGGTCTGACATGGGACAGCCATGGTCAGGCTAATGAGCTCAGGCCCTGCCTGTCCCTCCTTCACTGACACTTTGCAAGCATGTAGTTCAGCTTGCCCTTCCCTTCCTGGTGGGGTTCAGGACGGGCCTGCCTTCTGCTTGGTCATGGGATGTGGGTTTGTAAGAGCTCTTTGGACTGGAGGCCACAAGGGGCTTGATGGTGAAGGGGTGTAACCCTGGCTGTAGTCGATACTACCAACGGCAGCACTGTGCTTCTTGGTGTTTTCAAGAAGAGTGCCAGGCCTTTCCTCTGAGGTGTCTGTGCTCTCCAGCCTCACTGACTTAGCTGTGTGTCTGCCCAGGACCTCCAAGAACCCACTGACCAGCACCTGCTCCTGCAGTCTAAGCAGAAGTGAGCCCACTTCCACATCTGATCATTGAGTTACACTGCTGGAGATCTCTGTGGAAACAGGGTTCCAGAATGTTCTCACAGGCATCTTCCAGGGGAAGAAGTGTGCCTTCCTTCAAGGCAGAGGGTTTAAAATCAGTGAGCCCCAGTCCCTTGAGCTCTGTCCACAGACCAGGTGGTGGTCTTGGTGGCAGAAGTAACTGAGGTGTGGAGTGCGAGAAGGATGGCTGGGTGCTGGCAGAGGGGTCTATGCTGTCGGCACACTGGCCACTAAGGCCTCAGCCAGGCCTTTCCAATGGTGCTTTTGTCAAACGTGCCTCTGACAAGGGTGGACAGATAAATGATACACTTAAGAGCAAACTATGACGGCAAGCCTAGAGCTAGAACGGCAGGCAGCAGGGGTTTCACATAAAGGCAGTGAGTGGCTTAAGGTCCAGAGGACTGAAGATTCGTTGGGTAGTTGGCAGCAGGCCCACTGGTCTCCCCCCAACCCCCACCCTGCCCTGTGAGGGGCTTCAAGACAAGGCCTCTAACTAACCTCTAATGTGAAGGCTCAGATTCTAGTCACTCCCATCTGTTATCTGGCTGCTTCCCCAGAGAAAATGGTGCACGGGGCCTCCTGGCCCCAGCTCACATACTTGGGGCATTTGGCCAGGAGGACTAGTCCTTGGAGAAGGACATCATGCTTGGGAGGGTAGAGGGTCAGCGCAGGAGATAATGACCCTGGATGAGGTGGACTGAGACAGTGACTGTGGTGGTGGGGTCAGGTGTGTCAGGTGAGGTTGGCACAAGAAAGGAGAAGGTTCAGAGCCGTTGTTCATATGGTCACTGTGAGTTGTAGTTGATTCGATGGCACGTAACTGTCCTTCAGAGATGAGAACATGGTAGGTTCAGACACCGTGAGGTTTTTCTTGCTGGAAGACTTCAGTGTCCCAGAGGACAGTGTCACCAGTGGGCAGCAGCTGTGGGCCCTTGGGCATTGGCAGACTGGGTCTGAGAGTCACCAGGCACTCCTGTCTGTTCAGGCTGGAGCTGGGGACATGGATGGCTTCCAGGCAGACACAGAGGAGGAGGAGGAAGAAGAGGGTGACTGCATCATGATGGACATCTCGGACGTCGGAGGTGAGAAAGGGTCCAGAACCAGAGTGTATTCCAGAGAGGAAGGATGGGGCAGACCCCAGGATCTGGCTGGGGTGGGAAGAAGCCTGGCTGTTTGGAAGCCCTGCCCCGTCTCGTCCCTTACCTCAGGCCCCCGTGCTACAGTGTGGTGACACTGGTGAACACCACAGGCTAAGGCACTTCTTTTGCCTCTCAGAGGGCCCATGTGGCACCCCCTCAGGATCCGCGGGGGCAGTGGGTGTGGACACATGCGAAGGCCCGCTGCCTGTGAGCGGAATGCTGCTGTCCTGAGGCCCAAGGCCACGAGCGCAGACGGGAGGACGTCCTCAGCTACGCATCGGATACTTGAAGTCTGCCGCCCCATGGAAAGAGCACTTTGTCCGCCTGGCAGGCCTCCCCAGAGGGCTCAAGTTTATACAGGATGCTTGACTAGTTCATGGTATTTGTAAAAATTTCCCCTAAAGTTGCCTATTAACAACCTGCCCTCTTTTAATAAAGCATTATTGCAATGTGGCCCTGAACTAGGGGCTGGGATCAGATGCTTGTAAATGAATTGGAACCCACAGGTGGGTGCCAGGTGGGCATATGGCACGCCTGAGCCTCACCAGGGGACATGTATAAACTTAATTCTCCAGTCCTGACCTGGTCTGTGTCTTTACAAAGCGTCGTGTCCTTGGGGTGTGCTGGCACTGCAGGCCTCCCCAACACGCTCTTCCCTTCCTGCTCTCTTCAAACCTTGCAGCCTCAGCTACCCACGTTCAAAGGCCACTGCCACTGGTGACCTGGTTTGTGTGCTCCTGGGAGAAGCTCATGTTCACCCACCTCACCAGCAGCCATCAGGGGTTGGCTCAGGAGGGGAGCAGGTCCTGAGCAGGGCACATCTCGGTGGTGTCCAGCTGGCCCTGGCTTACTAAGCCCAAGCCCACACTCAATGAAACCTGCTCAGTTCTGACATCAGTCATTGCAGATTAGACCAGCATCAGGTTTTCACTGGCTAGTTTTGAGGTGCCATTCACATCTGTCTTAATCTGAATGCAACAAAGACAAATGCCTGGCCACCCCCAGTGGGTGACCTCTTGGGTAAAGCTCTGCCCTCAGGTCTCCCTTCCCACCCACATCACCTGGTTCTGATGCTCCTGCTGACTCACCCCACTGCAGGGTTCAGAGTCTGGGCACTGTCCCTTCTGGAAACTTGAGCCTTATTATTTTTTATTATTATGTGTGCACCATCAAATCAGATCTGGCTAGTACAGGAGAAAATTGTCCCTCCTGCTCCAGCAGGGCATCTGGTGGATTTGAACTGCTCACCTCTTGGATTGCAGTGTAGCTTCTTGCCACTAGGCCACCAGCGCTCACTAACTTGAGCCTTTTTATCCCTGCCCTGTTGAAGCGTTTACTGACTGCCCCCATGCCTGCACTTGGAGCCCCATCCTACTTCACAGCCAGGTCCCTAGCCATCTTCCTGTCTCGGACCTGACCTTCAAGCCTCCCTTCTCGGGACTACGGAGCCCTTTGCCTGGTCGATGACACATTCACATGGTCAGGACTTGTCATCTACTGAAACCCTCTGCCTGGGTCAGGGCTGCCATTTGGTGAGAGAGCATGCCTGGGATTGGGAAGTCTTCCAGAAGGGCCACAGGTCTTCCAGGGAGAGATGTGAAAGATAAGTCTGCAGGAGGCTCCTGGAAGCACTCAGCTCCCTAGAACCACACACTATTAACCAGGAAACTTTAAATCTTCTGTTTATTCTGTCATAGTTAAGGAATAAATTACAGATCTGTGCACTAGCGGGCCCTACTACCCTCCTGCCGCTATGAGCAGCACGCTTGGGGCTGCCTCGGCCCCAGGACCCAGCCGCGTGGGCATGCGGCCTAGTCTGCTGTAGGCATGTTCACAGCAGTGAGGACGCTGGATCAAATGCTACCGAAGGGCGGGTCCCCTCAGGGCAGTGGGACAGGCACGTGTCTTGCCAACCCTAACTCCTTCAAAATCAAGGAAGGGGCTGCATCTCTTGCTGCACCCCTGAACAGAGGCCCTGGGGAGCATGGGGGCTGCGGTGGAGCACTAGACGGACCCCAGGCTGAGCCAATCCTGCTTTATTCATGAGAGCTTCTCCATGGTGGTCAGGAGCTCAGGCTTCAGAGCCCACCAGTCCAGCTCCGCGCCCGAGGCCTTCATGTCCTCCAGCACAGCGGCATCCAGCGAGAAGTTCAGCAGAGCCGAGGGCACCTGCAGTGGGTAGCACAGCCTCACCTCAGCCCTATGGCTCCAGGGGCTGTTCTCCTCAGGCCTTGAGACCCAGCGGTTGAGGACACCTTCCCTACCCCGCTGAATCCTGGACCCACTGAGGGACCCTAGGCTGAACCCTGCCCTCAGTGAAGCATCTCACACCCAGTGAAAGCACCCGGCTCCCCAGACTCAGATCCATGGACCACTCACCCCTAAACCTGCTCCAACCTCTGGCCCAGCCAAGTCCGTCCTTTCACCCATAACCCCTTATCTGTCCCTGGCCACCCCTGCAGCCCCACAACCCTCTGCATTTTTGATTCCCGCTGCCCTCCTTCCTATTTTACGCGTGGAAACTTAACACCAAAGTCCAGAATTCTCTACATCCCAAGGGCACAGGCAGAGTTTAGGGGAGACGCCGGGTGTCCACTTACCAGCCCACACTCGGTGAAGGCCAGATTCTCATCCTCCAGCAGTTTCTGGCCGCCAGAAGCCAGCAGCTCAAAGGGCAGCCAGTCGTTCTGCAGCGCCTCCCGCACAAAGCAGTACAGCGCGGGGAGCCGCTCCCTGGCGTAGAAGGTCCCTGGGGACAAGCGGGGGGAACAGTGAGGGCGGAGGGCAAGGGGCCCCCAGCCCCGCGGTCAAGGTCTCCAGATGAGGCACGCACCCTGCAGCAGGCAGCCGTCGGGCAGGCGCACGCGCAGCAGCGTGTAGGTGTACTTGCGCATCTCCCGCTGCTCCTCCTTCTCCCGCATGGCCTTGGTCCGCAGCACGCTCAGCCGCTCCACCGCCTCCGACCTGCGGGCCAGCCGCTTAGCAACCCACCTGAGCTGCTACCTCAGGCTGGGACCCCTGTCCCACGGGGACCCCTGCCCGCCTGAGCTGCTACTCAGGCTGTGCGCCCTGTCACCACGGAGTCTCCTGCCCCCCGAGTTTCCCCTGCCTCAGGCTGGGACCCCTGCCCATCTGAGCTTCTGCCCCCACGAGGACCCAGGCCCACCTGAGCTTCTGCCTCAGACTACGCCTCCTGCCCCCACAGGGACCCCTGCCCCCACGGGGACCCCTGCCCACCTGAGCTCCTGCCCCCTATCCCCATGGGGACCCCTGCCCACCTGAGCTTCTGCTCACGCCGGAGCTCCTCGGAAGTCAGGGTGAAGAAGTCCGCCGGCAGGTCGAAGTGTGAGGCCAGGGCCGAGGGCTGGAAGATGCGGCGCTGGCGGTCCAGCAGGGCCCGCACGGGCTCCGCGCTCAGCAGCTGCACCTTGTGCTGCTCCAGGCTCTGCGGCTGCGCCCGGGCCTCCTCGCCCAGCACGTAGAACTCCTCGGGCTCCTCTGTGACCAGGGACAGCTGCTCAGCCACCTGCCACCTGGGCCTGCTCCTCGGCCTCTCCCCACCCCCCAGTCCTCTCCCTGGCCTTGGGTCCACCACCAACCTCCAGCTGCCACTACACCCCCAGCCCCCACTGCACCCACACCCGGGGCCCGGCCCCCTCTGCAGCCCACACAGCCCCTGGACCCAGCCCCCTGCCCTCTTACCCTGATCTGGAACAGGAAGGGCCACCTTCTGGAAACCGATGGCCTCAAAGAACTCGTGGGTCCCTTCCAGACAGTGGATGCGCTCCTGGGGAGAAATGGGGTCAGCAGGCCCAGGGGTACACTGCCCCATAGCCCCTACACGACAGATGCCCCTCTGCAGGCAAGTCTGCGGGGCTGAGTGCAGACATCCACTTCAGAGGAAAGGCTGGAGGCTGTGGGAGCCCCGCAGAGGCTGTGGGACTCAAGATGGACAACAGTCTATGAAGGCCCCCAAAGTGAGGGCCATGGACACAGTACTGCTCTGCATGTTGGGTCACTTCTCGTTGGACTTGATGTCGAGACAGTAAGCAGTACCCGGAGGAGGCTACACCTTGATGGCTGCTGTGCCCGCAGAGGCAGCCCGGCAGCCCGCGGTGAGGCCTGCGGCACCCCTGGGGCTGCGGGGAGATGTTACCAACTCAGACACAGTCACCCTGAGCAGGGCAAGTCCTGACCTCACTGCCTGGTATCCTTCTAAGAGGAGAAAACAGAAGGGCAGATGCTACCACGTGAGGACAGAGCCAGAGACTGGAGATGTGGCTGGAGCCCAGGACTGCCTGGGCCCTGGATGCCTGGAAAGACGAGGCCAGGGAAGGCTCCTTGCTTAGTCTCCGGGGGAGCAGGGCCCCCTGCTGTTAGTGACCCTATGAACACACCTGAGCCCTGCCCTCCCCTGTGCCATCCTCATTATCTCTGACACACCAGGGCCCACTGCAGCGGTCACCGTGACAATCCATCTTGTCAAGGGGCTTCCTCTTTCTCGTCAAACTTCCATCTTTCATAGTGTGGTGTCCAAGGAATAGCCTCTCCTAGCAACATGTCCAATGTATGGGAGACAAAGCTTAGGCATCTTTGCCTCTAAGAAGCACTCTGGCTACATCATCTTCGAGATGTATCCGCTTGTCCTTTTGGCAGTGCACGCGATATTCCATGCTCTTCTCCAACACCACAGCCTGAAGGCCTCAATTCTTCTGTCATCCTTGTTCATGTCTAGCTCTCAGATGCAGAACAGTGACTGAAAAGATGATGGCCCGAATTGTCCTTGGTCTTTAAAATGACATTGCTCCTCAGTACTTTTGAGAGGTCCCTAACTGCAGACTTTCCCAGTGTAGTATGTCTTCTGAGATCCTGACGGCTGGAACCAAGGTATTAATTATGGATCCAAGTCAGATGAAATTGCTGAAATGGCTAACATGTGCATGCGTTGTGGGAGAAGCACTCAGCCTCCAGGCCATGGACACACTGGTGCACTGTGGGAGTCAGCACCCAGCCTGCGGGCCATGGGCACACCAGTTTATTGTGGGAGTCGGTGCAGGCCGTGGACACACCAGTGCACTGTGGGAGTCGGTGCCCAGCCTCCAGGCCAGGGGCACACCGGTACACTGTGGGAGTCAGCACGCAGCCTGTGGGCCGTGGGCACACCAGTGTATTGTGGGAGTCAGTGCGGGCTGTGGACTCTGGTGCACTGTGGGCGAAGCATCCAGCTTCCAGGCCATGGACACACTGGTGCACTGTGGGAGTCAGCACCCAGCCTGCGGGCCATGGGCACACCAGTGTATTGTGGGAGTCGGTGCCCAGCATCTAGGCCAGGAGCACACCGGTGCACTGTGGGAGTCAGTGCGGACCGCGGGCACTCTGATGCATTGTGGGAGAAGCACCCAGGCTCCAGGCCGTGGGCACACCAGTGCATTGTGGGAGTCAGTGCAGGCCATGGGCACACCAGTGCATTGTGGGAGAAGCACTCAGCCTCCAGGCCATGGACACACTGGTGCACTATGGGAGACAGCACTCGACCTGCAGGCCATGGACACACTGGTGCACTGTGGGAGTCAGCACCCAGCCTGCGGGCCATGGGCACACCAGTTTATTGTGGGAGTCAGTGCAGGCCATGGGCACACCAGTGCACTGTGGGAGTCGGTGCCCAGCATCTAGGCCAGGAGCACACCGGTGCACTGTGGGAGTCAGTGCGGACCGCGGGCACTCTGATGCATTGTGGGAGAAGCACCCAAGCTCCAGGCCGTGGGCACACCAGTGCATTGTGGGAGTCAGTGCAGGCCGTGGGCACACCAGTGCACTGTGGGAGTCAGTGCCCAGCCGCCAGGCCATGAGCACACTGGTGCAATGTGGGAGTTTGGGCCACCTGCTGGTGAGAGCCAGCTGCCAGCAGACACCAGTACTCACCTGGAACACCTTGTTCTGCAGTTTGATTTTCTGGTACTTTTCCTCCTGGGGGTGCAAGTGGATGTTGTCCAGGTACCTGTAGGGTCAGGGGACACGACAATCCTCAGAAGATCCCACCTCCTCAGAGCATGATGGTGGCATGTGAATCACCCCCCGAGTCCAGCAGGGAGTCACCCAAGTGTCACAGTGCCACGCCACCTCAGACCTGCGACCCCAGCCCCATGGAGATCACGCCCCCTGAATGCCCGAGTAACCACAGTGGTGAGGTATGGTACACAGAAGCACAAGGCAGGAGGTCCCCACAGGACAGCAGCTGGGGGGCGTCCAGGCAGCGAGAGCTGCTCAATCCCAGGAGGGGAGTGGTCTCAGTCATTCCTCTGAAGACCCTGAAGGGAAGCCTTGACTTGGTGCAATCAGGTTTCATCTCTAATGGATAAACTGAGGTCGACAGAGGCTGAAAACCAAGGGGAGGAGAGCACTCACTTGGCGATGGTGTCCACACCCAGCTTCACTCGGTCCCGGTCCTTGTTGAAGGTGTGGATCTTCATGATGGAGGCGCCCACTGGGTCCATGGAGAAGTGCTGGGAGAGGGGAGGTAAGTGTAAACCGAGCCCCGGGAGTCTGGGAGTACGAACCAAATGTCCTCAAGTTTGGAGGTTTGAATATAACCAGAGACCCAGAGGCATCTTGAAAGAAAGGCCTAGAGATCTAAAAACCCTGTGAATGGAGCCTTATAGAGCCCTGTCCCCCTGAGCTGGAGTCCACTCCACAGCAATTGATACAATAGTCTCCTCAAACACACTGAAAAATGCCAAAACACCACCTCCTGCCCAGAGGCCATGCTGCCCCAACCAGTCCCCTTGCCACTGGGTCAGAGTGGCAATAGGAACAGTCCCAAGCGTGGTGAGGAGGCTATGGTGGGGGGAAAGAGGAGCAGAGGAGGGTGGAGGTGAAGCCTCAGGACACAGCTGGGCCAGGCGCGCCCTCCAGCATCCTCAGTTCTCAGCCCGGTGGACAGGCACAGCCCCTGGAGAAGAGCAGAGACTCTCAGGGGCTCTCACGGGCTCCAGACGACTGCAGCCGTGTTAAATGAGCAGACAAGGATGTTAACTGAGCAGACAAGGATGAAAGAAGGGACCTGAAGCCACATTCAGGTTTGTTATTAGGATCTATTTCACATGGAGGGGAGGAGAGACGCGTGTTGCCAGTTTACAGATCGATCGAGGGCAGCATAGGCGTCCAAGAGAAACAGAACACGGGCCCTGTATCTCGTACTTCACCCTGGGACAGATTCTAGTTGCACTGATGGTTCAAACATGAGACCACCACAAAACAAACAAAACAACAAAAAATAAAGCACAGCAGTACTGGAAGTAAACGGGGACTCCAACTTTTAAAAAAATTTTATTATTTTTTTTTTATTTATTATTTTTGTGTGTGTACTGTCAAATCGGATCTGATTGGTACAGGAGGAGATTTTCCCTCCTTCTCCAGCAGAGCATCTGGTGGATTTGAACCGTTACTCCTCCTACTTTTATGAGCGGGCTTTGTTAACCGTTAACGTATGAGGCCAAAGCCACAACTCAAAGAAATAAAACACTGTGGAGTCGACTGCAACACAGCGAGCCTATGCAGGCACACGGGTGGGCGGGGAGAGAGAGAGACAGACAGACAGACACACACACAGACACACACACCCCACACACACCCCCAACGGATAAAGAATTCTTATACGAAAATCTGGTCACTCAAACCAAAAATGAAAAAAAAAATGCAAATTAAAACTAGTCTGAGGTACTATTTTTCCATATAAATTAGGTACAAGTTAAAGCTGTCTGATGACCCCCAGGGGATGGTGGGGGGACCGAGAAATCAAACTACTCCCCCGGCGCTCGTGAGAACGTGAATTGAAGCCGACAGGATGACCGCAGCTGTGGGCCTTTACAGAGCGCAGGGACTCCCATGGCTCCCTGGGGTGTGGACGGGCCACGGGGGCACACTCACAGACAGAATGGCCTCTTTGATGTGGGCTTCGCGCTGGTCCTTCCTCAGGGTGGCCCCCGTGAGTGGGCAGGTGAAGTACACTCCAGGCACCGCCAGGTGGGCAGACCCATCCTCTTTGGAGTCTGGAACCTGGAGGAGAAGGTGTCTGCGCATGAGGCCTCAGCTGACCTCACTGGTCCCCACCCTGCCCCCTCCTGATTGGCTGAGAGGCACCTCTGCTCAGTGACTGAAGCCCCTTCCCAGGCAGGATGCCCCCACAGGGTCCATGGCACCCAGAGCTCGCCAGCCTCCCCTGGGCTGTGACCTTGAGGGTCCCTTTCATTCTAAAAGCTAGTGAGTCCTCACAGCTTACGCTGCCAGGATCCTCCTCCTGCTTCTCACGCCTCCTACAGGAAGGCCCCCTTGATAACTGAGCCTCCAGCCTCCAAAAGAGGAAGGCAGCAAGCATGCCCTCTCTGAACCTCAGTTTTCTACCCTGAAGAGCAGGGGCTCTAACGGCACCCACAGTGCAGAGCCAACAAGGAGGAACCCATGCTGGCCACCGTGGGGTGCTGAGCCGAGTCAAGCCCAGGAGGCGGGGTTCAAGGGTTCCAGGAGTAGCTCCCCAGCCCACCCCTGAGATTCAAATGCATGGAGACTGTGGTTTAACAGGGGCCCCGCAGCAGCAAGTGATCCAGGGAGAGAGGAATGGCCAAGGAGACGCTCAATGGGGCCACGCTCACCCTTCCACCCAGGTCTCACCATGTTGTCCCCAGGAGCCTCTGAGTTCCCACTGCTGGTGGCTTCTGCACGGAGCTCCTTTCTCACTGGAAAGAGAAAAAGGATGGACAGGTAGAAATGGGACCAGAAGACAGATGTACACATATGACCTGCCCCGTGTCAGACCTTGACCTTCACCCTCCCTGGGTGGGACCTGTGCTCGACCAGACCACTATCTTCCATCTCTAGTCCTCTGGATCAGATCCATCCACCTCTTCCTGCAAGTGCTCTGCCAGACATTCTTAAAAGGGGCCCTCACCAGTCACCAGTCAGCTCCCAGAGTCCCCTCAGAGCCCAGCCCGGGGTCACGGGCCAATCAACTGCTCACCCTGGTTCCGGATGGACTCCTGCGAGGTGGGGCCCCGAGCCCGGGGCTGCTTCTGCTCCAGCCGGGCCAGGGCTGCGGCGGCCGCCATCTGTGCCTCATTGGTGGGACCCTGGCGGGACTTGAGGGATGGCTGGCTGGGCTTGTCTTTGGGGGCCTTCTCCCTGGACCAGACAGAGAACAGTGAGTGTCCCCCGGCAAGGCTGACGTGGGTTCCTTGGAAGCTTCTAGTTGGCCTTCCACCACCTGCCCCTTTCCAAGGTGCCCCTCCGCGTCCTCAAGATAATCCTAACTCCAGGTGAGGCGGCCCAGAGGCAGGACACTGTGGTGCCCAGCTTGGCCCCTGCCAGCAAGTCCTGAACCAGCCTGGGCCTCAATGTCCCTTCTGCAAAATGGGGGTGCCTTACACAGGACAGACTCAGAGACAGCTCAGCCTCTCTTCCTTCCATGAGGGGCTCCACAATGCTCACTGTCCAAACCAGTATCACAGCCCGTTGAACAGATGCCAGCCTGACATCTACTGAGGGTTTCACACTGGACTTGGTGCTGGCCAGGACTCAGGACGCACCTGCCACCTCACCTGCCTCTAAGTGAGGCCATATCCTGTCATCCTCATTCACTGTCCAACTTTCAGATGCATAGCAAAGATGACAGAGGAAACAATGTCTTTGAGGTGTGGTACTGCAGAAGATACACAATATGCTGTGGACTGCCAAAAGGATGAACAAGTCTGTCTTAGAGGGCATGCTACCAGGATGATCTTAGAGACAAGGAGGGAACTGTCTCACATCTGCTGGGCCTGGTGTCGGGAGGGGCCAGTCCTGGGAGAGAGATAATGTGCTGGGAGAGTGGAGGGTCAGAGAAAGAGAAGAAGACACTTCACAAAAGAGACTGACGGGGGG